GTAGCGCCTGCACCAGGGAAGAGAATACGGATAGAAACAACAGCCAACGTCTCCAGAACTCATCCCAATCAAACTGACTACAGACGCCTCCAGTGAAGATAGGGCCTCACCCGTCGCAAGAGCAGTATGTTCAGGAGTTGTGAAATGCATGTTCGGCGTTCTGGTATCGCATATGAGACGCAACCTCTTGTTCTTCCGCGCCACAAAAAACAAGCCTGCCTCCTCCGGCACGGGCTCCGAGCTGGCCTCAATAACTCCAGAAGCGAGAAGCTCCCCGAGCGCGTGGCCGTAGTCGTAGCCCAGCCGCCCGAGTTTCGGGCCCATGGCGCGAGGAGCACCTGCATCGCTAATTCGTGCTGCTGCCTCCGAGGGGGAACGCAACAGCCCGCGCCCAGTCTCCAGCTTGTGATGCAGATCAGCAGGCAGGACGTCCAGAAGAGAAACCTTCCCGGCGCCAATCTTGGGGGGAGAGATGTTTCCCCGCTGGTAAACTGTTCGAGAACCTGAGGCCTCGACTTCTGAGTAGCCAGGCCTGAGACCCTGAAGCGTCGTCCACGCCTCATGGGGACTCGGGCGATCGACCGGCGGTGACCGCTTCCCGTAGATCGCAGCCAAACGCCGAACGGCAACGCGTTGGGCCGCCGTCAGCGGGGCTGAGGCAGGCACCTGACGACCCTGCCCGCCCAGCTCGTTGAGGGAGGCGATGCCATCGATCAACCGCATATCCTGACGCCTCCTGGTCGCAGCCCTGCGCGTCGCAGACAGTGAAGTACCAAAAGCAGAACATCCACTAAGCAAAGACATCAGCTCTGAACCAATCGGAATCGGCAGCAGATCACGGTGGCGGCCTCCAACGCCGTCGTCGCAAAACATAGCGCAGACGATGCCGCACCTCCCCTTGAAAATAGTCGACCGCTCGGGGGCAGGCGGGCGACCAAGGAACCTCTGGCTCAGGATGGGGCTATGAAGCCCCCTCACCCGCCTTGCCCTTGGCCTTTGCCTTGGCCTTGGGCGCAGGTGTATCCTCGCCCGTCCCACCGCGAGCAAGAATCTTTTCTTCGCGACCTTTGCGACGTTCTTTGAGTACAGCAGCCTCCGATTGAAGGCGACCCGCAACCCAAGTCTGCAGCTCAGGAGACACCGAGGCCCCTCCACGGCCACGTTCTTGCCCAAGAAATATTTCGCGTTCATCGAGCCAGGCCGATCCGCCCGAGTCACGAACTGCACCGGCCTCATGTTCACGAAGCCTGTTAGCGTAGACCTCCTCCCAGAGTTGGCACCTCCTCGAGATCGCTTCGAACACGCCGAGCTCTCCTTCATTGAGCTGGTCCTTCGTCGCGCCCATCACCAGGAGCTCTGACAAGAACTGATGTTCTTCGACCCCCGCGTCCGCTGCGGTGAGGTTCTGCGTCTGCCTCCACCGCGTGTGACGCTGGAGGGGGGTCTGGTCCAGCCTCTTGAACTGCTGCACGAGCCACATGGTGGTGCGAGGGCCCAGTGCTGGCCAGTCTGGCATCGGGCTAGTGGACATGAGCTCGACCGCGTCCGAGAAGTCCCTGCTCCTCAGCAGCCGTCCCCTTTCGGGGGGTGCTCGTCCCCTCGAAGGTGCCCGACATCGCGACCGCCAGCATGGTGCCATCCGCGAGCTCGACAATCCCGCGATCGCCAGCGGTGCTGCGGGGGGCGGTCCCAGCGAGAAGCTCGTCACCTGGACGGTGACCAGCTCGGGGCTCCAGGACCACACAGCGCACAACATCACCAGCGTCAGCGCGAGCGCCGAGAGCCTTCGCAGGCTCCGCGTCGCCGTCGGGGGCGGGCAGCGCTGGCAGCCCCGCACCTTCAGCAGGCAGTCCCTCCTCTCGGCGGACCTCCTCAGCCAGTGCGCGCCCTTCATCGAGCAGCGCCGCCTCGTTGCGTTGATACCTGTCCATGTCCATGCGCAGGATGTGGCCAGACAACTTCGTAGGCAGACCTCCCATCGGGCCAACCAGGCACAGCTGCAGGGCATCCGAGAGGTCCTCCTCGTAGATGTCAAAATGAGGAGTAACCACCACCCAACGGGTGGGAGTAACACGGCCCAAGAGGACTCGCTCATGCCAGTAGTTGTCCTCTCGCTCGTAGAAGACGAGCACGCGGGCCCCCACTCGAAGGCTTGCCAGCGCCTTCGCCGTCCGCGCCGCTGCCACGCGCCTCCTCGAGCGCCTGGGCCCGACGGCGGCAGCTCCACGCCGCGGCCTCCCGCGCGCAAAGGCCCAGCACCAAGCCGAGCGCCAGCGCGAGACCGAGCTCCAGCCCGGTGTGGCCCGACGGCGGGCAAGCGGGCACCTGGGCCGGCTGCCCGTGGAGGTGCTCTGGCCCGCACCTGTCGAGCTGGCCCTTCAGCAGCCCGATGAGCGCCTCGTCAGGCGAGGCGTCGAAATGGCAGCTGCAGTCGCACGCCCGCGTGTGCTGGCCGCCACCAAGCCAGGTCCCGAGCGCCTGGCCGCCGACAGTGGCTGCCCAGCGCGACCCAGCGTCGATCAGGGCGGCAGCCATCCACGGGACCTTTTCCCGAGCGAGGTGCCTTGAGAAAAGACAGCGGCACACACGGCAGATCATTCACGTGAATCACTTACAAGACGGCCCCAGAAACGCCCAAGAGGCCCCGAAGATGCCCCAAGAGGCCTCCGAGAGGCCCAGATCACTGGTTTTTTCCGAAGTTTTTGACGGATCTTGGCGGTTGCTTCCTTAGGACCAACAAGCCCAAATCATTGATTTTCATCCGGCCCAAGAGGCCCAAGCCGGCCCCAGAGGCCCCCCAAATCGCCCCAAGATGGCCCCAACGGCGTCCGAGGTGACCTCATGACGGCCCAAGAAACCTCCAAGGCGGCCCCAAGAGGGCCCCAAGGCTGCCCAAGAGACCCCCAAGACGCTCAAGATGGCCTCCAAGAGGCCCTGAAGCGGCCCAAGAGGGCCCCCAGTCGTTTCAGGTAGGCACCCCAAACAGTTTCAGACGGCGTCAGACGGGCCAGGAACGCCGTAAGACAGCCAAAGAGGCCCCCAAAGAAGCCCCCAAAGGCAGCCAAGGGGCCCAAGGAGGCCCCCAAGAGGCCCCCCAAGGGCTCCCAGGAAACTCCTAGGAGGCCCCAAGAGTGGCCCCAGAGGCTCTCAAGAGGTCTCCTCCTCCTCCTCCTCCTCTTCAACTCGCCACCTGTTCTCCAAAGGACTTCAGCAGCGGCTGGGGGAACGCATGGCCCAATGGAGTCGCCAAACTTTGCCCAAACGTTTGGCCGCGCAGGCGCCGCCCGAAAGGCGGGTGGCGGCGTTTTTTTCGCCGCAGGCGTCTTCGATCCGCCGCCCCCCTGTGGATGGCCACGCAGGTGCCTGGCGTGCCAGACTTCTTGAGGTTTTACGGTGATCGCACTGGATGAGGAGACCTTCGATCAGGAATGAGGCCAGGGGAAAGCCAGTCAATCGTTGACCGGCCATGGACATCACTGCCACCCTCATCAGATAGGGAACCCTCCAAGGTTTGAAGCCTCATGGGGCACGTTCCTCAACGAACGCTCCCCGCCGTAATCCCCCCCTGGGGCTTCGGTCCACGGCGCCAGCCACCCGGCAACAACCTCAACGTCCACACACACACACACACACATCCCCCCAAGACGGCTCAAGATGGCCTTGGAGACGGCCAAGATGCACCTCAGACGGACTAAGATGGCCTCAAGATGCGGCCCATGAGAAGGCGCTCCTAAGACTGCCCACGAGGCTTCCAAGAGGTACTCCAGGAAGGCCCGAAGAGGCCAAGATCATCGAATTTCCTTGGGTTTGTGGGAGGTTTGGCATTTGCTTCAAACGGCTTCCCGTCGGCCCCAGACGACCCAAGAGGCTCCCAATATTGTCCCAAGATCGCCCAAGAGGCTTCCAAGATGGCCCCAGGACAGCCCAAGAGGCACCCAAGACGGCCCCCAAAGGGTTCCAAGACGACCCAAGAGGCCTCCACGACGCCCAAGATGTTCTTCAAGACGGCCCTGAATCGCCCCAAGAAGCCCCAAGACGGCCCAGGGAGGCTCCTCAGACGGCTTCCGACGGCGTCAGAAGGGCCAAGAACGCCGTGAGACGGCCAAAGGGGCCCCCAAGAGGCCTCCAAGAGGCCCCCAGGAAGCTCCCAGGCGGCCCCAAGAACGACCCAAAAAGTCTCCTCCTCCTCCTCCTTTTTCCTTCCCCACTTGTTCCCCCAAGGGCTTCCGCAACGGCTGGGGGAACGCATGATCAAATAGCGTGGCCAAACTTTGCCCAAACGTTTGGCCACGTAGGCGTATCCTGAAAGGCGGGGGGCGGCGGTGATTCGCCGTAGGCGTCTTTGATACAGGCCGCATGCACTGCCCCCCGCTCCCGAGGGGCTCCCTGGGCTGCCGCCTCACTGGCGCTCTCCACTGCGTCCAAGATGCCCAAGATGGCTTCCAAGACGGCTCAAGCAAGCCACCAAGAAGGCCCAAGATGCCTTCTAGACGGCCCCACATAGCCCCAAGATGGCCCCGAGGCGGCCCAAGATGCCTTCAACACGGCCAAGAGCGCTTCACAGAACCGTCAGCAAGGCCCGAAGAGGCCAACATCGATGATATTCATTCGATGTTTGTCAGATTTGCGCACCCTCGCCTCCTCGGGTTTCCGTCGGCTCAAGATGGCTCAATCGGCCTCCGAGATGGCTCCGCGACGACCCATTACATCCTCAAGACAGTCAGTCGAAGAGGCTCCCAATCGGGGGCGCGCAAACATGGATTAGCGATCCATGGATTTGGCGCGCGGTCGCCAAATCCATGGATCGGGCGAAATGCCCTCCCCCAAATGCGGGCGGCGCCGCCCCGTTCCGGTCGTCGTTGTCGTCGTCGTCGTCGTGTGCACCACCACCATCATAAGCGTCAGCATCCTCGTCGTCATCATCCTCATCGATTCGACCAGCTGCCACCGAAAATGTTGGGCTGGCGCGGTGGCGGGGCTTACCGCAGGCAGATGGATACATAATCACAGTGAGGAGTGCCAGCAATGTGCCGAGAGCAATGCACACTGTGCTGACCTGGGACAAGACAACGACGCCCTGATAGCAGACACCCCACACCGCCTCCTGGTAGTACTCAGTGAGCCAATCACACCGCATACCATCGATAATGGTGTCGATAGGCGTGATGATCTCCGTATCAACTAACTCATGCAACTCCGCGGTGATGCTGTCGGGGCTACCTCCGTCCGGAATGTTCTGTGCCATCGCGTCGAAACTGGACGTAATGTAGAGCTCGAGCTGCGACTGCAACTCCTCCCTCACAGTCACCTTCGCGCCGCTCCTGGTCCTGAAGAAGATGATGTCGGCGAAATTCGACACGACGGAGGGGTCCGCTGGATTCAGGCACTTGTCCACCGTTTCCGTCAGCATGGCAAAGTGGTCGTTGGGGAGACTGTCCAAGCCCAGAGCTCCGCGCATGTCCTCGACCATGGCCTAGCGGCGCGTGCAGGGGGTTGACGCGAGGGGGGTGGTCATCGAAGCAAGCAGGGGGGGGGCCTCTTGTAAGGGCCCGGCGCATCCCACTAAGGCAAGAGGACCTCCAAGAAGCGCCCCCCGCCCCGCCTCTTTGGCAGGCCACCCCCTGCGCACCATCCCCCTTCTCCCCAGGCACCCGGCGATGTGGTTTTCCCCATGTCCTACGATTGGGTTCTTGTCATTGCTCGGAAGCCGACGACCCCCTTCACACACACATTTTCCTCCTCCTCCTCCTCCTCTTCCTCCTCCTCCTGTGTTCCCCATATCCTGAGATGGGGTTATTGCTCCCATATCCTCTGCTGAGGTTCTTGGTAATACTCAGACGCCTCCGACTCACACCTCACACCTCTCTCTCCCCCAGTCTTCCTCTTCCTCACACAAACTCACTCGTACTCAGACTCACTCGCATTCAGACTCAATCATACTCAGACTCACTCGTATGTAGACGCACTCACACTCAGATTCACTCACTTCCTCCTCTTCCTCGCTTAGACTCACTCGTGCGCAGACTCACTCATACTCATACTCACTTGCACTCAGACTTACTCACACCTTCCTCTTCCTCATTCATATTCAGTCTCACTCGCTCTCCGACTCACTAATGCTCAGACTTACTCACACTCAGACCTACTCGCACTCACAATCACTCGTACTTGGACGCACTCACAATCAGACTCACTCACACTCAGCGACACTAACAATCAGACTCACTCGCAATCAGCCTCACTCGCACTTGGACTTGCGACGCACTCGCACTCAGACTCGCAGATTATGAGGATGTCTCAAGCGAGGCTCTGGTTTCAACACCCCAATGGGGAGTCGCCAAGGGTGGTTGAACGGGCCCGTGCGCGGCCGGACTGTAGGGATGTCTCAGACGGTTTGCCCGTTTGGTGGCTTGGACTTTGCGGCTTCCTGCACTTTTTGTTGGTGACGATGTCTCCAGCGAGGCGCTGGTTTCAGCACACCAAGGGGGAACCGCCAGGGGGTGGTTCCACCTCCCCGTTCGCGGCCGGGTGTTGGGGATGCATGCGGCGGTTGTCTGTTCGGTGGCTTGGCCTTCGCTGCTCTCGACAGAGACTGTGAGGGAGGAGGAGGAGGAGGAGGAGGAGGAGGAGGAGGAGGAGGAGGAGGAGGAGGAGGAGGAGCGAGGAGGAGGAGGAGGAGGAGGAGGAGGAGGAGGAGGAGGATGTCTCAAGCGAGGCGCTGGTCTCAACACCCTAAGGGGGAGCCGTCAGAGGGTCGTTGCACGGGCCCGCTCGCGGCCAGGTCCTGCGGGTGCCTGTTTGGCGGCCCGGCCTCGCCTTCGCTGCTCTCGGGGCAAATTGTGGGGACGTCTCGAGCGAGGCGCTGGCTTCAGCACACCGCTTGGGGAGCAGCCAGGGCTGTTCGCACCCTGCCCCCCGCGTTCGCGGCCAGAGTGTGGAGATGCCTCGGCAGTTTGCGTGCCCGGTGGCCCGGAATCCGCTGCCTTCAGAACAGATTGCGAGGAGGTCTCAAGCGAGGCGCTGGTTTCAGCACTCCAAAGGGGATCCGCCAGGGGGGGGTGCACGGGCCCGTTCGCGGGCAGATTGTGGGGATTCGTCAGGCGGTTTGCCTGCTTGGAGGCTTGACTCTGCTTTCAAAACTTTGTTTACCCAGCCACCCTGTGGCGTTTGAAAAGACAGCGCCCCGCGTTCCTCCCAACTCCTCCCGCTCCTCCCTCATCCCATCCCTACTTCTGCCCTCTGCATGTCCCTGTTTCGGCACACCCAGTGCAGCTTCTCTTGGCCCCGTAGGGAGCTCAACCAAAGGCCGCGGCGGCAAGGTCTACATGGCGCCGCCACCCCATGTTGGCGCACCCCTCACACGGTGATTCGTGGTCCCATAAAGGAGCTCCACCGAAGACTCCAAGAACAAGGTCCACATGGCGGCGCCGCTCCATTTCGGCATTTTGGCGCACCGCTCACACGGATAATGACCCCAAAGGGATCTCAGCCGAAAGCCCCAGTGGCAAAGTCCACATGGCGGCGCTGCTCCTTTATGGTGCACCCCTCATACCGTTTGTGGCAAGGAGCTCCAGCGAAGGCCCCAATGGCGGGGTTCGCGTGGCGGTGCTGGCCAATGTTGGCGCACCCCTCACACGGGTCGTGGCCACATAAGGAGCTCCACCGAAAGCGGTGCCACAACACGATACTCGTAACTGCACGTGGTTGGGTCCTTCGCCAGGACAACTGTAAAGGTGCTATCGGCGAGGCGATGCCATCGGCGAGGCGCTGGCTTCAGCACCCCAAGGGGTAGCCGCATGGGGTGGTTCCCCCCGCGTTCGCGGCCAGACTGTCGAGATGTCTCAAACAGTTTGCCTTTTTGGTGGCTTGGCTTTCGCTGTTTTCAAGGAAGATTGTAAAGATGTCTCAAGCGAGGCGCTGGTTTCAGCACCCAAAGCGCAGCCGCCAGGGGCGGTTTCATTTCCCCGTTCGCGGCCAGATTGTGGGGTTGTCTCAGGCGGTTTGCGTGTCTGGTGGCTTTGAGCTCGCGGCTTTCAAAACAGCTTGTGAGGACATGTCAGGCGAGGTGCTGGTTTCAGCACCCGAAGGCGCAGCCGCCACGGGTGGTTTCACTCCCCCATTCGCGGCCAGATGTTGGGGATGTATCAAACGGTTTGCCTGTTTGGTGGCTTGGACTTCTCTGTTTCCAAGGCAGAATGTGGGGATGTCTCGAGCGAGGCGCTGGTTTCAACACCCCAGTGGGGAGCCGCCAGGGGTGGTTGCACGGGCCCGTTCGCGGGCGCATTGCGGGAGCAAGGAAGAGGACGCAAGAGGAGGGAGAAGGGAGGAGGGAGGACGAGAAGAGACGGGCTATGGCGATGAGGAAGAGGAAGGAAAGAGGATGGGGCGCCATTGAGGAGGGCAATTGCGAGGGAATCAGGGAGGATGGAGGACGGATGAGTAGGGACGAGGGAGGACGCATGGCCGCGTGAAGGATGATGACACAGGAGGAATTCGAAGGATGACCGCCGGGGATGATGAGGGAGGACAGGTGAGGACGGCGGCGGACGCGGGAGGAGGGAGAAGGGAGGAAGGAGGAAGGGAAAGAATAAGGAGACGACGAGGAAGACGAGGCAGGAGAGGGGAGTAGTTGTTGTCGTGAGTCTGCCTGTGAGATGTTGTCGTCGCTGTCGTCGTCGTCGTCCCTCAACGCAGCCACGTTCGTCGTCGTCGTCGTCGTCGTCGCCCATTCGGACTCGCTCTCACACCTATGCGTTCATAGCCAGCCACTCACGGCTGGACGTGCCAGAAGATACGGTGATCCCCGCGCCGAGTACTTCTCAATGCGTGGCCCCAGAGCTCCCGACCCCGCCCGCAGGGGCAGCTTTTCATCCAGAGTCCATTTCTGATGGCCCTGGGGCTCGACCAACGGGCCCCAGAAACACTTACAGTCGGACTTGATCGGACAGGACACGCGAGAGGACACGAGACCCTTCCGAGGGCCACACTGCAGCAGGAATGTGGGAGGCATGGGTCGCGAAGCACAGGACACAAGCGTACCCCCGATTTGGCAGGGTCGATCTACTTCACTCACCAGGGCCCACTGTATCGAAGAACACCGCCAGAACTCGACAGCCCACATCGTCGGAGGTCCAGGCCCGCCCCGCGGCGTGGCCCTGTCGATGTCGCCGAGGACCAGGCACGCGCTGCTCACCGGGACGGCCAGCGAGCCCAGCGCTGCCCCCCACAGCAGGCAGCACGCGCCCAGCGGACCGGCCAGCGCCCAGACGCCGCACGCGCCCCTGCGCACGGCCGCGCCGCCGCCGCCCGCCTGCCCCACGGAGCAGCACGCGGCGAGCAGGCCGGCGGCCGCCACGAGCGCGGCGCCCGACGCGGGCGCCAGCGCCCCGCCCAGGCCCGCGGCGGCGGCGAGGCCCCGGGCGCGGTCCCAGCTCTCCTCGCCGACGAGGGGCTCGAGGCTCTCCGCGGCCTCGCGCCTCGTGCTCGCCGCGAGCCCCACGGCGTCGCCGAGGAACTGCTGCAGCTGGGCGGCGCCCGCCTCGTCGACGAGGGGCGCGGGGCCCGCCGCGGCCTGGCGCCTCGCGCCCGCCGCGAGCCCCGCGGCGCCCTCCTCGCCGACGAGGGGCTCGGGGCCCGCCGCGGCCCGGCGCCTCGTGCTGCCCGCGAGCTCCGCGGAGCCGTCGGGGAACCGCTGCGGCGGGGCGGCGCCCGCCCCGCCGACGGTGAGCCGCCGTGGCGGCGCAGCTGCTCCGCGGAGCGCCGGCGCGGGGCGGGAGGAGCCGAGGCGGGGCCAGGCGTCCCCCCCGGGCCGCGTGCCCCCGAGGCCGCGGTCGTGCAGCCACTGCGCGGCGGAGGCGCCGAGCTCCCCGGCGTTCTCGAGCAGCCCGTCCAGCTGCGAGGTGTAGCTCGTCGAGTTGCCGCCGAGCGCCAGCAGCCCGTCCAGCTGCGAGGTGTAGCTCGTCGAGTTGCCGCCGAGCGCCAGCAGCCCGTCCAGCTGCGAGGTGTAGCTCGTCGAGTTGACGCCGAGCGCCAGCAGCCCGTCCAGCTGCGAGGTGTAGCTCGTCGAGTTGCCGCCGAGAGCCAGCGAGAGCTTGCGGAGCCGTGCGATCATGGCGTTCAGGCCGACGAAGGGGGGATCCTCCTGCCCATCCACAACCGCCAGCGTTAGCTTCGCCGAGATACAGCCGAAACTATCCACGCCGTCGAGAAACTTCGCATGATAACCCCATGCGTACCCACAACAGATGAAGATCCCAACGCCCACGACACTCACGGCAAGCAATCCAGACAACCTCAAGGCGACTCGCGGCGTCCCTGGGGCTTCCTTGGGAAAGCAGACGCGCCACCTCGCGAAGCACGGGCACGAAGTGAGGCACATGTATGCAGAAGAATCCACAAGACCCCTTGCGGAGCTCCAGGCTGCGAAGATCGGGTTTCAGTAACAGGTGCCAATCCAGTTTCCAATGTTATAGCTATGCTTTCTGCTTCCTACAGAAGAACTGTTGCTGAAGGCGCGAGGGGGGGAAGCTGTAAACCACTATGGCCACCACGGCCTCCAAAGGTTATCAGAACTCCCTAGGGAGCCCTGGGACACGTGAAAATATTTGTGATTCGCGTTCCGGGGGCCGTACTCCTTAAATTAGATTCGCGCTCCGGAGGCCAGACCCCCCATGAATTGATCTGGATTCGCGCCCCCGCAGCCAGATTCCGTCATAGTTGACGCTTGATCTGCGCCATGATCCTTGATAAATTACGCCAGATTCGCGCCCCTGAGGCCAGAATCTAGCAGAATTTACGCCAAGCGCTCCCAAGGACAAATTCCTTTGCAAATTAAGCCGGATTCGTGCGTCCGAGGCAGGGCTCCATTATTAACTGCCCCAGATTTGCGCACCCGAGGCCAGAATCTCTGCTACAGTCAACCCGCATGATAAAGATGGCCAAGGGTACCCTTGCATCCTTGCCTCCTCGGTCCATCCTTGGCCACTTTCGTTGGCCGCGCTCCGCTTTGAAATGGGCGTCCGAGGCCCTTGCTTGAGCAGGGACCGACCGTCCCGGTATTCCTATAGGCCTACCTCGAAATGTTCCTAGAACCCCAAAACGTTCTAATAACACAAACGATGTTCTTAGAAGATGAACCAACCCGATGTGCTAAAACAAGGCAGTCCCAGTCAGAAATGTTCTCTAAGAACATTTTGTGGAAACCACAAAAGGTTCTTAGAACATTGTTTGGTAGGCCTGTAGGCACGCCGTGACGCTTCGCCACTCCTTGACTTGCATCCTTATCGCGCATCCCTCTGATACGCGCCGACTGTACCAGGCTGCCGCTCCCGAGGCGGCCAGACTCCGCTGGTTAAGTGCGCCGGCTGCGCGCGCCCGAGGCCAGAATCCTTTTGCAGAGTGCGCCAGATGTGCGCTCCCGAGGACATGACCCCTTTTTGTATTAATGCCAGACTCGCGCTCCCAAGGTCCTGACCTCCGGTAAGTTACGCAAGATCCGCGCTCTGAGAGGGAAGTAGCACTCTTTAGGGAGCCCAGAAAAGACGTACGCGCCCAGTCATGTACATGAACACGGCCCCTCGATCAGCGAGACCAGCCGCGTGATACGAACATTCGCGCAATACGTACTCTCGAAACCAATGTGGATTCATGTACGTGAACGTCCTTCTTTCGCTCCTGACTCTTAGCGACAGCTCCAGCATCTCAAGGTGACCTGCTGAGGGCCAATCGCCCCCCGCATGCTGTTGCCAGAAATCTTCAAAACAGCGCGGACACGTCCCAGCGAAGCTCTAACATCTCCTATTCTGAGAGAGGGGGCCTGCGGCGGAGGGCGAAGCCTCACGGCTAAAACCCTGCGTGAACACAAACTCTCGGGGGCCCGCGGGGATTTGCTGAGCCGGCCGGCGCTGGACCCGCCTGGCCAGGGGGTCCAGCGCCGATCCAAGATATGGCCGCGTCCATTCTGTAGCGTTGCCAACCTGCGGCAATGACGCACCCATGTTGCCGGGCATGTTGCGTGACCCCTCTCGGGAGCCCTCGGAAGCCCAGCGGGGCTGGCGTGACCCCGGGTTGGCCCTGTGACCCGACGGCGCTGTGCGACCCCGTGTTGGTTATGACTGCCGCTCCAATGCAGAGCCCCTGTGACGCGAACGAAAAGGACGGCCCCAAGCCAAATCCGCGCGGAGCTCCGAAAGCGTTCTGTCTGCGAAGGCTTCTCTTCTTCGGGTGTACGGGAAGAACACCACGAGGAGACCGAACACCGCAAGGCCGAGCGGACGATGGGAGACCTCCCGCACCGCGCCCGCCACGTCGCCTCGGCCCCTCGCGTACTCCTCCGCGCGGCGCTCGGCGTCGGCGCGACTGCTGGACGCGGACAAGATCTCCAGGACGAAATTGTCGCCACCCTGCGTCCTCACCAGGGCCTCGCGGCTCGCCTCCACGTCGGCGCCTCGGAATCTGCCCCCGACCGCCCCCCGCCCGCATCTGCCGGCGACCGCCCTCTGGGCCATGCTGGCCACCCTCGAGCTCGGGGCGCTCCCCGCGGCGCCCGGCGCCAGCGGCAGCAGCAGCAGCGAGAGACGCGCAGTCACCATCGCAGGCTCCCGTTCCTGATGCCTGGCGTCCAGGAGCTTGGGATAAAACAGCTGCAGATGCGACCGCCGCTTGGCGTTCGAGCCCTCTCCCAGCTGGCGAGCGCTCTACATGCAACACTGTTCAACCTCTCTGAGGGCTTCGAGCGGTCGTGTCGGAAACGGCGAGTCCGAATCGATGGCCTTCTGACCTGCAGCCTTCAAGTCAGAAGCAGAGCTGAACTGAAACTTTGTTTTATTCCCTTGGTCTCGCGTCCAACGCACAGCCCGCCCGAACGGATCTTCAGCTGGGCCACGCTGCGTGCAAGGGAAGTCGGCCAACCATAATTTCCATCGCTTGCCGATGCTACTGGGTGTCCGCATCGAGACGAGGCTGCGCCCTCATGACCTCATGGCGTTGAGCGCATTGCTCCGTAAACGTCTTCAGCTTTGAGCCCAAGGCTGTGACAACCATCTGCCTACCACTGCTTCGATTGCTCTCGGCTTCGATCGGAAGACAGCGTTTATGAATACGCTGGAAATTTTCTCTGGTGCAAACTACAACAGCATATTTCTCACAACCCACAGCTTCCAAATAAACAGCGCATGCATAACAACCGTCCGCGTCTTGACTATGCGAAACCTCCATCGCATGCAACGCCAGGTGTCCACGTTCAGAACGCTGGCCAACAACACATACTAGTTGGAGCGGGCATGTGACTTTTTCAGCAGGCCGCGACAGATGCGTCCAGGAGCCAGAAAACTATCCACAAGGCCAAGATGTGCGCTGAGACGAAAACGTGCACGGATACCATTAACTGCATCGTCACGCAACATCTTCACTCCTGACAAGCGGATGCTCTGCGAATCGAACACGATGTTGTGACATTGGGGAAACACTCAACATGTTCCGACCTGTGATTCCGTTCCGTTATGCGCGTGACGAGCCGTCGCACTTGTGGCGTCAAGAGCCCGGATTGCGGAGCAGTCGAAAGCGCGTGAAAGCTGGTGGGAGGTGCTTGCACGAACGCCTGAAGACACTTGTGGTGCCCACTTGTGACACCCACTGGTGGCGTCCATCGTGGTGCCCAAGACCATACCAATGATTCCCTTCGGTTACGCCCGTGACGAGCCGTCGCACGATGCCGCGTCGTGATGCCAGCTCGTGATTCAATTACATCAACGCGTGTGCACCGCATGGCATCGTTATCGACAGGAATGATGAGGGGACGCAAGATTATCTGGTTTTGTGCCCGTTGAGATATTAAGCGCGCGATCGTGCAAAGAAATACGAGAGCGCAATATGCGGAGGGACATGTGCGCCCACCAGCCGAAGACCTGGAAATCATAGCCAACGCACAAGGGCGCAACGAGGTGGCCACGGTCGCCCATTGGCCGAACATCTGGGAAACCCAGCTAACTTCTTCGAGCGTAAAGAAGCCAAGCACTGTGGGGGGAGAGGGACAATTGTGAATTGTGCCCGCTGATCTGCCTGGACACCTGGAAGCGTGCAGGCAGCAGGCGGCCGATAAGGATGGGCGTGCTGATGGCGACTTCCCTTCTTGATCCCGCATCTCACCGTCGATGTCGAAGCCGAGGGGCGTCGCCGACAACATCTTCCCCTGGTCAGTGGACGCCCTGCCTACAGAGCGGGCAGCTGGACGCACCAGGGCGCGTCAACCCTTTCTTTCTGTACCTCTGATGAAGCCGTGTCTACATTCAAGGCTGGCAATCCGCTCCTCGGACTAGAAGAACGAACAACGCCATAAACATAAACTTTTGGCGCTCCGCACGGAGTTCTTGGATCTGCGCCGGAACCCCCTCCCTGGCCCGCGGAGCGCGCCAGGGGCGGCGCCAGAGGCGCCACCAGGGGGGCCCAGCGCGGATCCAAGAAATCCGTGCGGAGCGCCAGCAGTTTATGCTTATGCCGTCTTTTCCTCTTCGACTTATGACCCTCTGATGGAAGCCATTTCCGCATCCAAGGCCGGCAATCCGCTCCTCGGACTCTGCACGTCCTCCATGCAGATGGCGCAGCCGTCCACAGACGCGTCGCATGCCCGGACAGTGCGCTTCAGGAAGAGCGCAGATGCCTGAAAACTCTGGCCCGTGATCGCGCACTCTTCCGGGAGTGCTCTCGACCCTGGCTGGGGCGCGGCGGAAGACCACCTTGAAGGCCATGGCTTTGCCCATCTCTTCCATGATGGCCCGTGGTGCGGTGAAGCCGTTCCGCTCGACAACGCCGTCGCCCAGGGCCACGCTGACTGCCGGGTTTCGTGAGAGTTCCCCTCGCGGAGCACGCCTCCATCGCCAAAAGAGCCCAGAATCGAATCGATGAATCGGATCGGCGATCGAAGCGAATCGGATCGGCAGAAACCGGTAGCCAGGGCGGGAGGAGTCGAGTGGGCAGCACTCGGCAGGCCAACAAACCTCCGTGGAGGCCTCGGCGTCCAAAGCGCAGCCCGAAGTCCGACGTCCGAAATCGGAACCGGAGGCCGTCGGAATCGAGGCGAAGCGGCGCGGGGGAATCGCAACAAGCCCTGCATCGCTGACCCGCACCAGCCAGCCAGCCGACCTTCTTGTTGAGATTTTTCTCGCGTCGACGGCGCGGGCCGCGCTCCGCTCCCGCGCCCCGGGAGGCGCGGAGCGGGAGGGTCACGGAGGGGGCCAAGAGCAGGCCCCCCAAGAGGCGCCCAAGAGGACCCCAAACAGGGAGGGTCACAGGGAGGAGGAGGAGGAGCAGGAGCAGGAGGAGGAGGAGGAGGAAGAGGAGGAGGAGGAGGAGGAGGAGGAGCAGGATGAGGAGGAGGGGGAGGAGGAGGATGAGGAGGAGGAGGAGGAGGTGGAGGAGGAGCCCAAGAGGCCCCCCAAGGGCGGGAGGGCCAACAGCATGCCCCAAGAGGCCCCCCCCAAGGGCCCAGGATGACCCCCATCAACCAGGGCTCGACCAGAACCATGTTTTGTCGTTCTCGCGCTGTTTTCGTGTTTCCTCGTTCTGTCTCCAGTCCGCCCTTGCTGCAAAACGAAGTCGAGACGAAAACGGCCCACGAGATCGCTAAACCACCGTTTAGGTCGAGCCCTGCCCCAAACCGCCTCCAGGAGGCTTCCCAGAGGCCTCCCGAGAGATCCCCACAAGTATCCGAGGGGCCGCTGACCTACAACCCAGGGGCGGCTGCGGGGTGGACCGAAGACCATTCGATGGCTCTACCTTGGCTCTCCTTCTCGAACGTCACGGACTCAAGTGGACCCAAAGAAGAGGCTCCACGAGGGTGACCTCGACAAGGCCTCCAGAACATCAAACACCTTCCCGTCGTCCTCGTCATCCTCCTCCTCCTCCTTCTCCTCCTTCTTCTTAATCTCACCGTCGCCGTCGCCGTCGCCGTCGCCGTCGCCGTCGTCGTCGTCGTCGTCGTCGTCATCTCGTCGTCGTCGTCGTCGTCGTCCATTTCATCCTCTTCCTCCTTCTCTCTCATTCTCAGCGCAAACGAATTGGGGAACCCTCTCAACAACCCTCCTCTTCTTGCAGGAATGGGGTCATTCCTAAGACCTCATCCCAGATGAGGAGGTCCCGAAACGGGAATTGCATGAGTCGGGGGGACTGCTGTCCAGCAGTTCGACGGCGCGCCGAGGGGGGAAGTGAGAGGGGGCAGGCCTTCTCAAAAGCGGCAAGGCTTCAGAGAATGCTCAACAAGCTTCTGAGAAGGCTGGAGGCCTTCTGAGCCGTCTGAAAATGGAGAAGCGCGCTCCACTGCTCGCAAAGTAACTACAGTGCGGGCGCGGCCGCAAGACACCCTCGCAAGAAACCCAACCCTGAGAACCCGTGCGCGAGGTGCACCTGAGGGGAAACATGGATCACCCTGAACGCAGCAACTTCTTCAACGGCTGCGGGAAGTCGCCGCGCAGCGCGAGGAGCGAAGAAACCCGGGGCACCCTGACGAAAAGCACATGGTTTCTTGATGCGCGCCCCCACTGTACTCGCAAATGGCCTTGATCTGCCGCCGGGGGATTCGGGATCCATGACATGGAAGCAGACGCGTGAACGCGTGCATAGTTCGGATGTCTGCGAGCAGGCGCTTCAATTACGAGCAGTGGAGCACGCGCTCGGGGCTCGAGAGCGGCAGGGGCCTCGGAGAAGGCTCCGCAGCTTCCCGAGACAGCTTAGGTCGGGCATGTCCTCCTGCAGGCGGATTTTGGGGGAGAAATGCAAAAGAGTCAAACCCAAACATCGAGAATAGTCAAGCATAGTCAAACAAAAATCGGCCCCAGACTATTTTTTGACTATTTTTGAATATTCCTCCTGTAGGGTGACAGGCCCGACTTAAACCAACACCGTGCCTGGCTAGGGCCATCCTGGGCCCTTGCATTGTACATGCGCCCTCGCCTTTTTGGCCAGGGCCGGGAGGGCCTGAGCAGTCAGAAGGCCCAGGAGGGTCCAGGCCAGGCGTGGGGGATGTGTGCGAACGCCTTCTGGGGAAGTCAGGGAAGGATCGGCGTCGAGCGAAGGCGGAAATGAGAAGGAGAAGGCCGGGGAAGTGCCTTCCGAGCCTTCCGAGGGGGACCCGGCCCCTCCGCCCCCCCGCCACGAGGCACGCCGCCGAGCGCCGCGCGGACAGGGGAAAGTGCAGCCCCAAGCGGTCTGAGCCGCAAGGGCGCCCTCTCCTCCTCCTCCTCCTCCTCCTCCACCACCACCACCGCCACCACCGCCACCGCCCTCCTCCCCCTCCTCCTCCTCCTCCCCCACCACCACCACCACCGCCACCTCCCTCCTCCTCCTCCTCCTCGCTCCTCCTCCTCCTCGTTTTCCTCCTCTTCGTCCTTCTGCATGGGGGGGGGACAGGGGCAGGAGCGCGTGCCGTTCTCTCCGCGAGGCGGGCAGAGCAGAGGGGCGTCGGGGTGGTCCGCAGGCGTGGGCAGGACTCTGTGGCAGGACATCGCAGGCCAGTCGGGCGTCATCGAGCGAGGATTCCCCTCCCCTTTTATTATATAGTATGTTTAATATTGTTCTTCATATTCTTATTCTTATCCTTATTATTATTCAGAACATAAAAGAACATATACCTATACGACCGCCCTGTGGGCG